ACCTTTTTAGCACAGTATTGGAAGGGCTCTGATACTGTCTGTGCTCTTTGGTTTCTTTCTCCATGCATTCTGAATTTCAAGAAGGCGTTTTTGGATCTTGTAATGGTGAATTGCCCTTATGTATTCAGTGATTCTTCTTGTGCTGTGGTTTACACATTCGATTTCCCTTGTACCTTGTGTTTCGCTGTGCACACCTACAGGCATTATGTGGCCTGAGAGGCAATAGACAGTATGAAACAGAGACTGATGGGGTTTGATATGAAAAGTGATAGGATGTTTATCAATTGGAGGTCACAAGCCAGTAAAAGTACAGCAACAGTTGTAGCAATTTCGAAAATACCAGCTGAAAGCAGTAGGGAATCTAGCTCACCCCCAAAGCCATGGATGAACCAGAAAAATACTGTGTGTAGTCATACAGAAATAAATGTCCGTTAAGGATTAGAACTGATGGCAGTCAAGACCTCTTTTTGAAATGGGAAGATTTCCACAACACCTGTGGAAATGTTTGAGGAAGTGTTTTAGGGGTCAGAGCAGTGAAAGCATGGTAGCTGAAAAATTCTTGCCATTGGGAAAGCTTCCTCTGCTTTAAGAGAGTCCCATAAAAAATACTTGAGTTCAAGTACAGTGTTCTGACAATTGGGCATTTGCATTAAGCTACTGCTGAAGAAATTTTTCCATTCTGGCTGAACAGTGTGAGGAGCTCAACCTGAAAGAGGTTTTGTTTCCAAAGCAGACATCATTGAGAAAGTAGTAGCTATTACAGAGCTCTGATTCATGAATGAAACCTCATAGACTCTTTAGCCCTGGAAGAGTGAGTGCTGAACAACATTTTTACAGATTCCTACGGAGGTCAAAATTATCCAGGTCACCCAGCAGGCAGATTGAGAAAGCCAACCTTCCTTGAAGGTGGCTTTCTGAACCACTCTCCAGGCATTTAACTATACTTTCAAGACCTTTTGTGGCATGTTCCCTTTCTTTTGTCCTTGGCAGAGAGGAAAAATGAAAATACAGGAAACCCTTTCAACCTTGTAGCAGTTGTGCTCTCAGAATCAGCAGGGTGACACTTCCCCATGCCACTACTGCCAGCACCTCTGTGGTGCACCCAAGTCTTCACATGACGTACTCCTTCCTAGTCAAAATTTATACCACTCCTGGCGAGACCCCTCTGTACAATATATTACATCTCAGTGGTTGGAAACATCCTTCTAAGGCCGTCTCTACCCTAGGCAGATTTGGGTAGCTGTTCAAATTACAGCACTAAAACCAAATATCAAAAGGTTTATGATGAAGAACAGTAAAGTTCTTTGTGGAAAGTCTTATATGATGGGATTGCAAGGGAATGAGGCCAGTGCTACAGCCCTGTCTCTCTTATTCATAAAACCAATGACAACCTGAAAAAAAGAAAACATTATGCTGAGGTTTTTTTACCTGTCCTTTAGCCATCCAACACAAGAAAGAAAACTCCAACTCAGCATCGAGTCAAATCTGGAAGCTATTTAACAAGTTTTGTTCCAGCTGCAGATGACAGTCTTCCACCCATTTGTCCCTGTCCGCACTGCTGGAAGGTTACATGTTCCCTCAGGTCCAGGGCTCATCTTGCAGTCATATCCTAGCACTGCGCCCATGTACCAGGTTAAGTTGGTTCCTGTAAGTGGCTGCTTTCAGCAACTGTAATGCCAGTGACCATGCACATCAGGGAGCTTTTTGGCATAGGGTACCTTGCCTTTCCCTCTTTCAGAGGCTAAGCAGATGCTTTTTATCTCCATGCACCAGTGAACCCTCCAAAGCCATGGAAAGCTCAACGCAGCAGTGGCTGCACAGACTGAAGCATCATTTGCCCACTGAGCAGCTGCACAGTGTGAGGGAGAGCACCACTCTGAGCTCAAAAGCCATGGAGCAGTGGGAGATGGACTTGAGAGCTGAAGCATGCACGTGATGGGACACTTTCCTGAGTACAGGCTGTGTCTCTGTCTCCCTGTTGTATCAGTAGAAGGAATGCCTGGGAAAACAGCCTGGAAAAGCAGAGAAAGTGTTGCTAGTCATCATTTAGCTTGGGTTGTCTAAGACCTTTGAAGGTGGTTCACACGCTGCTCAAACTATTGATTTCATAATGTGCAGTATTTTTTTTTTCTTTAGTCATTCAGACTAGTTTACATGACCACTGCTTGACTCCAGTCATTCAAGACAACATTTGGTTTTTTATTCCTTTTTTTCTTTATTTGGACAATATATATATACATATGTACAAAAACACCTATGCCTACTTTTTTTTCTTTTCCTTTTTTTATAATTTCATGTGATTTACAAAACAGGACAGCAAAATAACTTATAAAGAATACGAATACTGTACAAAAATAAAATTGATTAAACTGTTGGGAGTTGGTATTTTACAGTGTTACAGATCACTGGTTTGTAGAACAGCATTTTGAAGTATGTGTCCAGTCTGGTGTATGCTGGCCTAAGTCCATCTGCAAGCTGAAAACAGATCTGTAATGTCAGTCATGAAGAAAGTTCAAGAAGTAAGTTATATAGCTATACCTTTAAATCCATGACTTCTCTATACTAATGGACTTTCATAATCAAGGAAAGGAGCTGTCCTAACTTTAGCGCTATTAAGTACTTCCAAAATAGTACACCAAGTACATACAGTATTAGAGAACCTGATTTTCCTTTTCTTTTCCAACACTTGCAACACTATTCAAAACTTCAAGATGCAAGGATCTAACCTGCATTTTGTTTTAGGTGTTAAAGCCATTGTTTGCTTTTACTGAAAGAAAGAAAACCAAACCAAATGAACAAAACAGTACAATGATATCCCCAAATCTGGTAATTCTCAATGCATTCTATTAGTGATTAATGAATCACATTAATCCTGTCTGTCCAATGCTGAAATACAGCATACATTACCATTTAGGAAGGGTTTTGTTCAGAAACAGGATCTTGTCACTGGCAGTCGTGACACATGCCTTGCATGTCCCATTGTCCCATGGACTAAAGTACCTCCCACCTATTTCAGACTTCGCAGGAACATTTAAGTCCGCATTCTACCCCAAATGCACAACATGGAAACCATGGACATTTACTTCCATATATCAGTTAATCCTGGTAGCTCAGTGACCAAAACATTTACATACTGATTTAGGAGCTGCTTATCAGCTGTGGCTTCTAGTTGTGGTTGATTGGATGTGAGGATCTCTTGTATTTCACAGGATCGGGCTTTAATTTTCCAAGTGCTGCATTTGTCCCACAAAATAGCAACAATCCAGACTGCAGGACGGAGACTTGAAATCTAGCTTGATCTTCAGAGTAAAGAACTAAGAAGAACATAGATGCACCTTTGAATCTCATCAGGCTGCTCGTGGCCCTGACCCTACTCCACAAGGCAGCATTAACAGTACTGGTAAGCAGAACACTTTCTGTATTTCTAGACCAATAAAAACACCAATACTACCAGTTTTTATTACAAAGAACCTATGTCCCTATGACTCAATCTGAATACGAGAAATTAAAGTTTGGTTTCTAAAATAAATGTTTCAAAAGGCTGAAACGGAGGTAGAAAGTGTGCTTGGTTTCCTGATGTCTTCACTGAAGAAAACACATCCCTTTTTATTCCACAGACTGTTCAATATCCCCAATGCTTTAAAAGAAGTTCTCTTCACATAGACAAAATCTATCATGAACTACACAGGTAAAAACACAGTATGCAAACTGATTTCTAATGCTGAAAGCCATATACAACTGTAGAGGAAAACACTCTACTCTCCGAGTTAATTTCTTATGTTTTTTTCTAGGAAGCAAGCTTTTTATCAGATAAAACAATAAGATACTGTAATTGCACATGTGCTAACAAGATCTTTTATGTACAGAATTTTACAAGATGACCTAAATTCATCTGCAGTGGAGACACTTTGGGTTTCAGTGTAAATACTCACAAAATTAATTTGGCCCTAAGTCTCTGTAGTAGGGCTGCACAATCCCTTCCTCTTCTGGAGAAAGGGGTAAAAACCAAACCAAAGAATGTTTCTGGAAAAAAAATAAATGTAATTCTGTGTAAACAGAATTATCCCCCTTTATGCGGCTGGGGAGGGGGAAAAATACATCACTTGTAAACTCTTAAATTCATGCTTTTAACATAAAAAAAATTGAAATATTCATTAATTACCACATCTGAAAGTTTTCATTCAGTGATATTTCTGCTCCTTTTAAAGATAAAAAAATAGCTTTAAAATAAAAGTTAACATTGCCTTTATCAGCATTTGATGTGCCATGCATGACACAGGTACAAAGTACTAAGAAAAGCTTATGTTATAAAGGAATATTGCAAGACACCTTCTGTATTTCAAATTAACTTGTGGTATTCCCCCATACTCCAGAGAAAGAGCAATCAAGAGATACAGGAGCCCTTCCAAAGTGCTCCTTACAGTAATTTTAGGTGTTTCCATTAGCAGAGTACTCTTAAGAAAAGGTCTACTCTCTCCATAAACACACACAACTCCCATAGTACTCCAAGGGAGTTTGGCCATGGTATGAAGAGAATAAATCTTTAAGGCAAGTATAGGAAGAGAAAAAGCCTTTAAAAAAGCAGCAGTTTGTAAAGTTGGTAGCTGCTTTGTGCACCCATTCAAACAAACCACAGCAGAATAAAGCACTGTTAGTGGCGTTTCTATAGTACAGTACTGTATTACTGACAAGTACAGTATAGGATCATATGAGAGAATAGGCTTCAGCTCCCACATGCCCACCACATTATCTAGGCTGAGTTGTATTTTTCCAGGTAAATGAATAACAGAGCTAAATACACAGTCAGAAAATTACTGAGCTCTTTATGGGGATGTTTTTTGCTTTAAGTATCTTGAATCATACATGTTTTTACTGGAAAAGATAGCTGATATTCAAAAGTATACTTAATACAAAGAAAAATTAAAAATACCTATTTACTTTAATGGGCCTTATTGAGTATAAATTCACCTTATCTCAATATATCAATCAGATACTATTGGTAACATATGTAATGTTTCTCTTAATAGTCTCTTTAAGTGCAGGATCGCAGAAGATACACAGTAAACCCACTTCTACAATGTGCTATGGAGTTTTTATCTGAGTTATGTGACTCGGAAAGTGTTTTTACTCGACAGACTCTAAATACAAGCAGCATTACACTGTTCAACAAAACATGTTCATGACACAGCAATCACAAAGACTCTGGGGTCATGCTACTGTGGTGGTACAGGCCAGACCGCCCAGTCATATGTATGTACACCAGTATCAACGCATTAGAGTGGAAGAGGTGGTCACCTCCTCGCTGCCTGCCCCTTCCCTCCTCTCACCCCACAGCCCACTTGTTCCAGAATGCTGTTCTCAGGGCAGAGCCAGGAGGTGGAAGATGGGGAGGGGGATACTGAGTACTTTTTTGTTTTAATGCCGGCTACATGTGCTTTTGGACAGCAAAGGTGACCGGCAACACAGTGGATGCTCGTGCTCTGGCACCACTGCCTGCATCCTCGCCACAGCCTGCCTCTTCCCCACTCCTCCCCCAGGGCCAGCCCTGTCTTCACAAGGAGCTGCTGGAGCTGGACTTTTTGGATCGCTTGATCATGCTGGGGTGGAATTCGGTGTGGCGGCGGGCGTGCTTGGTCAGGTGGTCGCTGCGCATGAAGCGCTTCTCGCAGAGCGGGCAGCGGAACTGTTTCTCACCAGTGTGGGTTCGGTAGTGCCGCGTCAGCTCGTCAGAGCGGGAGAACTTTTTAAGGCAGTCGGGCCACGTGCAGGGGAATGGTCGCTCACCTGTGGGGAAGAAAGGATGACGAGAGATTTAGAGGGGCAGGAGTAATGCAGATCGGCACATGCCAGCTTTGCTGAGGAGCCAGAGAACAGGCTGCTGAGGGAAAAAAGCTGCTTTTTTTTCCTGCCATGGTGCCAGCGTCTGTGGAGTTGTTGATAACTCACTTCATCAGGTTTCAGTCTCACCTCCAGTAGAAGCCAAAAACCCCTCCAAACACATGAAACCCACATTCTAGTGCAGAACCTTACATGACCTGAAGACTGTCAAAACAACAGATGAGCTCTGCCTGTGCCTGTATGTTTTTCCTGTTGGTCTCACTACAGTAGCTTGGGAAAGGTGTGCCAGAATTATTCCTCTGACACTTCCATTCTACTGAATTATTTGTAACAGAAAATGATGCAAAAAAAAATTCCTTCTCCTAGGACAAGTCATTCCAGCCCGAAGAACTGAGTGGGGAGGCACTGGGGAGAACAGTGAAGCCTCAGGGCTGCAAACACGTAGGGCAAAACTGCTGCACCTGCAGAGGGAGGTCCCATGCTTCCCTTTCAGCCCTTCCTCTGGAAATCCAAGGTGTTCCAGTATCAATCTCTTAGACAGCTGATTTGAAGACAGGAAAAACACCTCATTATTCACACTATCCAAATAAATGTTTGCTATAACAACGAAAAACAAACCCAGATACCTTAACCTAAACAACACCGCAACTTTGCTTTTACAAAACAAGAGTGCAAGGATTGAAGAGCACTTTACGTCATCTTCCTGGCACTCCACGTCCCTACAGTTCACCTCTGTGGGTTGCACAGGCTTTGCCTTCACAAACGCAGTACCTCCGGAGCAGTGAGGCTGACCCTAGTACACAGCACAGATGGAAACACAAGAAGGTGTTTAAGTTCACACAAAAGCTTTCCACCATGCACTGCTGCAGATTTGATGCCTTAATTTACTTTCTTCAAGCCTCCTAAAGGGAATATAAATGGCAGCTCTGTGACAGCTATTTACAGTCAACCATATAAAAACTATACCAGGAGTTTTCCAGCTTGGAAGAGTTGGAAAGAAACTCAGGAACTCTAGTATTTCTCGGTAATGTGAGGCTCAGCACAACAGGTGGGATCATTTTACATTCAAAGATCAAAAAAAAAAAAAGGAGTGATTTACCAAGTGGGTCCTGGAGTTCTCCCCAGACAGAACAGCAGGGACAAAAAGCTACAGACTTGAATGAACAGCCCTGAAGCCAGGAGGACAACAATGAGTAGGAAGTATGGTAGACTTGCAGGGAAGGACTCACTGATGGCATCCAAAAGGCCAAAGAAGGATAAGGACAGGCCAGGTAAGCTGAGGTGTAGTTACACCAGGGGCCCTGAAAGCGCTAGTAAGCCTCCCTGATAAATGCTTCACTGTTTGGGCTCTTAATTATTTGTGCTCCTTAACAGGCAGCTTCACTATTCCAGACCACCCAGCGTGCCACGGAGCCGAGCTATATGAGTGGGACTGCGTCGGTCACAGCATTGCCCTGTGGCTGCTGCCCCTGTGCTTGCCTCCTTTGTCTCAGGGCCATGCTGGTTCTCAGTCAGGGGAGAAGGATGGAGCAGAGGAAGTCAATCCAGCTGCCTGCCCGAGCCTGGTGGAGGCAGAGCTGCCAGCCGTCATGAGCCAGAGCTCTTCTCTTTGTTATAAATGCATTTCTTGGCTCCCTTACGTATGCTTTTAGATATGGTCGGAAGACCTTCTGAACAACCACCGCCTGTATAAAACAAATTAATTAAAGCAGTACATAGGGTCATGTGTGCACGAAGGCCACGGCCACAGCTACACAGTGAAGCAGCACCAGGAGCTGTACAGAGGCCTCACAACACCACCCTTGCCCAGTGCCAGCCCTCAGCATCTGAGGCAAGCATTTCACTTGGGCTGCTCTTTTGCAATCTATCTCATGGTTTCTGTCAGAGCTCCTGGAAGCAGGTGGCAGTGGGAGGTGCAGAACAGCTTTCTTGCTCCCCCTGGGAGCGTAGGAGGAGTGCTATGTATCTTGCACGTGTGGAACCATCTAGTATATGCCTCTGTGTCAGGCACTTACACCCCAGAGCAGTGGGAGCAACTGAGACATCCTCCCTCATCTCCTGAAACCACATTTCCAACCATCTACCTCAGACAGCTCTTCAGTCTGCAGAAGTGCCTAACTGTGAATAGGGAGATAGGTGCCAAGGCTGGATAACAAGCAGCAGTCTTTGGGGAGCAGCACCTACATTTTAGACATGGTAGTATCCAACCCAAGTGTCTAAAAGTAGTGTTTAAAATCTGGCCTCAAGCAGTCCTTAATAAACTGAACTCCTCCCCCGTGCCATCCTGGAATTTCACGTGGGAAGATAAAATGAAGCCCTGCTTCTGGAATTCCCTCTGACACATGACAGGAGCGGCATGACATTCACCATCACTACCCCACACATCCACTGCACCTGCCAGGAGAAAGCACTCCAAGGTTACGCAGTGTAACCACAAAGCTTTAGGGAAAGGCAGGGCTTGCTCAGGACAGCCTGAGGATCACCTCACCTGCTGTGCCTTTGGTACTGTACTCTGCAGGGAATCAACCCTGGGCTTGGCTGGGGGAGGACACAAAGGCTGCAGGAGCCTGGCATGGTGCAGAGAAGCCTTGCTTTGCACAGGAAAGCTGCTGTGCATGAGGACAGGGACTCAGCAGGGATCGTGGGCAGAGATGTGTCCTTTGGACACACCTGGATGCCACCAGCACTGCCCTCCATCCACTGCCGAGCTCCCAAGTACAGCAGTGAAGAATGGCTTCACCCCCTCAGCAGTACAAACCTGCAGAACCTACCACAGCCACTTTGGAAGTGCCTGTATGAAAGCAGGCACAATGCTTGACACCTGGATGCATTAAACTCCATGCTTCTCAGAGCAGAGACAAGGGGGAGGGAGGCTTTTCCAGGCCCTCAGGGGTCATCTCTGAGCCTGAGAATTCACTGTTCTCCTTGGTCACAAAGCTGTAAGGGATGACACAGCCTAAAGAGATGGTACCTCAGTGACAGCCTCAATAGGTGCAAGATAGGCAGGGAGTGTATCTCCAGGAAGCACTTAAAGCAAGGCAGAGACGGCTGAGAGCATGTGATAACCATCCAGTCAACAAAGCTGGTGTTGTATCTGCTGTATTTGACATGCTTTCTTTTTGCAGCAGCAGAGATGTCGGTGGAAGAGCCCTCTGAGAAAACAAGTCTTGCAGCTCATATGCTTGCTGGGCAGGCAGTGGCCTAGAGAGCTGCAGGGCAAGCTAGTGCTACCTCCAACTGGAGACATGGATTTGTGTGTCAGCTCAGGCAAGGCGTATCTGCCTTATGATTTTTCTCCCTTAGTTTTAGGGGTAGTAATGCTAAAGCTTGAAACAGCAGAATGAAACATGAGCACACAATGCTGTTATACTCGGTTTCCCTTAGTGGCTGTATAATACCGACTTTTTAAGTAATGCCTTCTATGGGATTTTCCATCAAGAGATGAAGGAAAGGTCAATGGGACATCATGATAATTTGAAACAATGCGTGATTGGATCCTGACACAACAGACACAAGAGGTAAATAATTATAAAAAAAAATAGAATATGTATATACACATCTATTCAGGGCAGCTTACAGTAGTAAAAAGTGAAAAACTGATTTATAGGTAATAGGAACAGGTGCATCTGCAGACTCCCATTCTTTGTGCTATGAAAAACCAGCACCAGAAATATAGTGAGAGACAATTTATTCTCAGTATAAGTTAATAGTGGTGCTTCACACGTGTTCTCTACAGTCTAAAGAACTCCTGCTCCTGCAACCGTGGCTTACTTTTAATCCCATATGGATGTAAATGTCTTTGCAGATCCGTTTAATCTTAGCCCTCTTGCTACACCTGCCATTTTCGACTTGTTCTTCTCCCCACCCTCTATGAAAAATGCTTAGTTTGTTCTTTCTGTGCAAGTTTAAACTCTATATCCAAGCTACTTTGTATGACCTGAGACAGGTCCACTTTATTTTACTCTGAATAGACAAAAAAATAATACTTTTTTTCCTACCCTGGGACATTTCAGATTTTCCCACACTGCAGTCTTACGCAGAAAAGGTTTCTGAAAAGAGAATACAGAGTGGGCATTAGCAGACTGATTAACATAAATACAGGTAGTAGTGATATCCTGATTAATCATCTGCCTTCTCACCACAAAATGCTGCTTTATGCGTGGATGACTGAGGTTAGGAGCTGCAGTTCATGGTGGCTTTAATGCACAGAATATCTGCTGTCTCAGGTGTCTCTCACTTTTCTCCCCAGTTATTGCCCCACACACCCAGAACAAGGAGTTTCCTGTGGGATGCTGGACTGAATGTCCACATGCACGATATTCTGGTGAAGATAGATCTTCAGGAAAGACAGATTGGAGACCTTTAAAGCAGGCTTTTTCCTCTTCTGAGATATTCCAAAATCAGATCATTAAAACACTGAGATACTGGTGCAGAGAGAGATCAGCAGTTAGGGACCATAAGCCTAAAACAATGCTTTCCAGAACACCTAAACCATGGTCATCCAACCAGACAACAGATCAAATAGACGGGATGGGCGACAGATGGATGGGTTTCAGCAAGGGGCTTAATCTGATAGGATTTAGGATTAAACACAACAGGTTGGTTCAAATATTAAAATGCTGCTTTCAGCAAGTATTTAGAATGTTCTGACATTCTTAAAACTACCACTCACAGCTGCTTGGACCTACAGGTGTTTTGAGTCTCTCTCAAAAGTCCAGATGCAAAACCACCTGCTACAACCTGCTGATGCTGAGTCTAAATTCCAGGAAAACTGTCTTGCTGTTATCCCACTGTGACACAGTATCAAGTGCAAGGGATGTCCTTTCAGCTTCTCTGTCAGAGCACAAACCTCCTTGACTGTGTTACAAAAAGGCTTTCTCTGAGGGACTGTGTCTCCACACACATAAACATAGAGAAAGAGAGATCAGTCAGGTAAGCTGCTTGGG